TAGGAAATTTCAAAGGCTTATTGTTTCTAGCCAAGATAACAGTGTTGCTAGACAATTCTGTGATGAAGCCGTTGAGAATGCAAGGAAAAACATTGAAGCTGAGATTGGGGATGTGAACACTGAGGAGGGTGTTGTGTCTTCGTCAAGTGGTATTGTCCAAGACCCCTCAAGCCGCAGGGGTAAAGGTGTGAGAAATAAAAGGAGTAGCAGTGTTATTGAGAAGAAGTACAATGCAGCAAGGGGAAGAAAGAGTGCTGCAAACAAGCTTGCTTCAATTACAAAGGGCTCTGTCCAATCATTGGTCTTGGAAAATATTTCAGAGATTGCTCGTGATGGATATCTTGTACATCCAAGCACCGGGGGTTCACAATTTGTTCATTTTAATAAGAATGTAGACCACGATGTAGCTATAGATTGAGATCGTGTTAACAGTATGTACTTATGAATTTTATGATTTTTAGATATAGGATGAGAATTATGTGTCAGATTATGAATTTTCCTTTACCAGTTTATGAACTTTCATTTACCAGTTTATGAACTTTCCTTTACCAGTTTATGAATTTTCCTCTATGTGATTATGAATTTACAGTATGTTCTTATGAATTTTATGTCTCAGATTATGAATCTTCCTTTATCTGATTATGAATTTTCCTTTATGTGATTATGAATTTTCCTATATGTGATTATGAATTTAGAGTATGTGCTTATGAATTTTATGCTATTAAGATTTTATGAGAATTATGTCTCAGATTATGAATTTTCCTTTATTTGATTATGAATGTTACTTTATGTGATTATGAATTTTCCTTGTTGTCATTATGAATGTTATTTTAATGTTATGTAATAATGAATTTCAGTTATAGCTAACATGTATACATTCATAATCTCATAAAAGAAAGTTCATAATTGCATAATAGAAAATTCATAATATGGTAGTTGAAAATTCATAAACTCTACATGATCCACATGTAATCTGAATTAAGAGCAATAGATTGTATATTCATAGGTGCAAAATATCTGTGCACATTACAAAATGAGAGATTCACAATCTAGGGTACCAACAGTCAAGATTTGCTTCATGTTCACAACATATTCAAACACCAAAAAGCGGTATAGTTTCATTTCTTTTTTGAAAGATCCTTGGCTGCCTTCATAACTCGCAATCTTTCAGTGTTCCTACCCCATGTGATAATGCTTGATGCGTATTTAGCTCTAAGCTCCCAAATGAAGTCAGCCTTCAAAAAAAAAAAAAAAAAAAAGATGTTAAAAAACAAAAAAAAAAAAAAAAACAAAAAAAAAAAACAAATCTAAGTTGAAATTAATAGATCTTATACTCTTACATTTACATGGGTGCCTATCTTGAATCCACTGTCCCAATCTTGAACATTCCCCTTGTAGGACTCCATGTGTCGCATGACATATATGCCACAATCAATGACATTGTCAAGCTCCTTCCAAGGAATGGCCAAGCTAAGTATGATACAGGAAGGTTTTGTATCTTACGGAGTAGGGGGGATTTTTCTGCAGTCAAGTACTCTTTCAAAGCATTCATCTGGACAAAAATGAAACTAGTGTGATAATGATTCACATGAAATGTATAACAAACGTTTGAAAGGTCAAGTTTAAGGTTAAGTTACCAGTAGATTTGGGCAATCTTCATACTTGTCAGCTTCAGTAACACCTTTAGGCAACATCTTGTTGTCAATGATTTCAACACTTTTTGAGATGGTGTTGATGCAGACAACAAAGTAGTGTTCGTGTCGAAGCACGGGGAAAAATAGCTAACATCAAAAGAAGAAGTAGTTAGAATAGAGAAGAAATATGTAATTAATGAATAAATGTTGAAGGTGGGTAACTATAAATTACCAAATCAGCATCATTGACATCAAGATTTTCAAATTTTGAAATCTCATACTGTAATCGCTCATTGAAATTATCCTTCCGCTTTTGAAGCGGAAGATTCTTCATCCACTGTTCAGATGGGTCGAGTTGAAGCTAAGGGGAAAAAAATACGTATCAATGATAAGTTGTGCAATATGTAATGGCAGTCATACGTAATTCATGATATCATAACATAAAATCCATAATATTACAAAGAAAATACATAACAACAAAACAGAAAATTCATAATATCAAAGTTGTAATTTCATAACTCACAATAGAAAATTCATAATGCCATATGGGAAAATTCATAATCTCACATTAGAAAGTTCATAATATCAAAAATGTAACTTCATAAACTCACAATAGAAAATTCATAATATCATATGAGAAAATTCATAATCACACACAGAAAATACTTAAAATCCATAATATTACAAAGAAAATACATAACCACAGAACAGAAAATTCATAATATCAAAGTTGTAATTTCATAACTCACAAATAGAAAATTCATAATGCCATATGGGAAAATTCATAATCTCACACAGAAAATACATAATCTCACATCAGAAAGTTCATAATATCAAAAATGTATCTTTATAAACTCACAATAGAAAATTCATAATCACAAACAGAAAATACATATTTACATGACATAAAATACAGAATGGTTTAACAGGAAATTCAGAAGTGAGCAGAGTAAAAATTGTTGTTATTAACTTACATGTACCAACGTGCTAAAATAGATGCACTTTGGCTTCCCCAACGCCCGTTTTGTGTTGAGGAGTGTAAGCCTCAACGCCCATACATCTATGAATGTGTTAAAAATTTCACCGCTGCGGAGGGTGTGGAAATCTCCTCTTGTCATTGAGAAATCATCAAAGATAAACAGAGTTTCACTACATGAACAAAAAATTTTGATAAATAGGTAAATAAATTAACATATGGTTATAAATGTGAAATATTCATGAAAATAAAAAGTTTTCTAAATGGTTAGAGTCAAACATACTCCACTGGATGATCTGTAGAAGCATCCATGAAGGCGTAGTTTGATACGGCCCTCTCGATCACACTGGCATTATGGACAAATGGCACATTCTTTGTCCAAAAAGGTGACCTCAAGTTTAACGGGATGTTTTTGTATTTCCGGACTGGTCTCTTTCGCTTGGTGACATCCTCGACATCAGATTCACTGTCCAGAAATGCACTGTAAACACACGAAGCTAGTTAATATCATCATAGTTGCACAATTTCAGGTCAGAAAGTTCATAACTGCAGTACAGAAAATTCATAAATACAGAACAGAAAATACATAATTGCATATCAGAAAGTTCATAATATCAAAACTGTAATTTAATACTCATAATAGAAAACTCATAATCTCATATGTGAAAATTAATAATATTTCAGAAGAAAAGTCATAATATAATATCAGAAAGTTCATAACACAATTTCATATTCTAATTAGTTTACCTATCAATATCGTCGAGGGTAGCAGGTAGTGTAGCAGCAGGCGTAGAAGTATTAGCAGCATCAGGGACATCTCTGGCGAATGGAACCTTGATCAATGGAGTTATTTCTCGTCTTTCAGAACTTGATGTAGCAGGGGTAGCAGCATATGTTTCAGAAGATGAAGCAGTAGGGGTAGCAGCAGTGGTAGGAACATGTGTAGGAGCAGGGAAAGCAGCAGGGGAAGAAACAGCCGTAGCACCATGCGTAGCAGCAGGGGTTGTAGCAGTGATAGCGGTAGGAGTAGTAGAGAGTGTAGCAGCATCAGCAGCACCAGGAGTGTCTTTCACAATGTTTTCAACAAGGGCATCCAATTCATCGTCATCCATTGCACTTTGCTCACGTGGTTCATCAACCAATGGTGCCGGGGTATAAGAAATCCCTAAATCAAATGAGGGAGGGTCAATCTCCATTTGCCGATTGGTCTTTTGGAAGGCTTCAACCAAGGCATCAACAGCCTTTGTGAAAGACTCTTGGCCAAAGAAGATGTCGTCAAGTTGAGAGGAGGTTGGAGTTGGTGGTCTTTCTATCGTGCTTGCAACGCCAATCATGGTGGAAATCCCAGAAAATGCAGCCTTCATAACATCCACTGGGGCGTTTTGTTTGCCAACTTCAGCCATAGCCTCACCGAATTCCAAGACATCAGCAGCAAGGCGTTGTAGAACCCGTGTGACCCTATCAACACTAGATGGCGGCACAGAGATGGTTGGGACTGGTTGGGCGGAAGTAGAAGCGATACAATCAGCAGTAGGCTTTGCAATACGAGGGATAACTTTCCCTTTACCATATCCGCCCGACCTTTTCTCAGCGGAAACCCTTTGCCGTGCAAGTTTATTTGTCCATGCAGTAATGCTTGGATATGTTCTTTGAACGCTCATTCCTTTGAATTGGACCCGATCAAAGTAGAATAGCTACAATGTTGAAGAAAAAGGTAAAATAAAAAAGTTATAATCACAAAATTCATAATTACACTACAGAAAATTCATAATATCATAATAGAAAATTCATAATCCATATGAACATTATATTCAACTATCGTATTATGGATTTTATGTTATACAATTATGAACTTTCTATTATGAGATTCATTATTGCATAATATTAAAAGAACATTCATAATGACAACAAGGAAAATTCATAATTACATAAAGGAACATTCATAATCAAATAAAGGAAAATTCATAACCTGACAAATACAATTCTCACAAAATCTAAATAGCATTAAAATTCATAAGTACATACTGTAAATTCATAATCACATACAGGAAAATTCATAAGCACATAAAGGAAAATTTCATAAGCACATAAAGGAAATTCATAATATGACACATATAATTCTCATAAAATCTAAACAGCATAAGATTCATAAGTACATACTTTTAAATTCATAATCACATAGAGGAAGATGCATAATGACATAAAGGAAAATTCATAATCATATAGAGGAAAATTCTAATCACATAG